ATAGAGGCAAATCGAGACAAGATTTCTTACTTTTTAATCATGGATATAAATTCAAAATTTTTAGGCTGCCATGGACTTAAGCCTCAACTGTATCCAAATGTGACTGAGTTAGAAATAAATGAAGGAGAACCCCTAAACATTACGTGTACAAGCAATAGCTATGTTAATTTTTATTTCCCTACAAGTGATGAAAGGGGTAGGGTAAGTTGAATGACTCTACCATTTCGTGTTTGATGAGTTGTAGAAAAAAAATACTTCAAAGAAATAATAACCACTAATTTTTGCATTTAAAAAAAAAGACCACCTCTCAGCCTCTTATAACACCAGAAGTCAGGAGTACCCACAAGACATTCATAAGATTATCCACCGTTTTTGGAGATACTGGCTGGTATGGTTGTGCTGATGAAAGCAAACAAATAACAAGTTTGACGTACAAAAACTACAGCGATTTAAGTATCAGTTGGGTGTACGTTTATGTAAAATGTAAGAGTATTACGCATTTTGAATTTATCTTTTTGTAAACTAAATTTCATTTAAAAACTTCAATAATACTAAATATAACGCTTATTGAAAAATGGTTTATTTCCACGTTTAGCCAATAGAAGTTCATTCGTACATATAAATAAGGATGATAATAATTATTTACTGGCTTCGGGATGTTCTAAACACCTTATCTTACCATGCCAGACAACATCCCCTGAATTCAAAGTGACTCTTCGAAGAAATGGACATGTAAAACATACTTCATGCATGATAAAAACTTATACTGAAAACGACGCAATTTTTCCAATATTTTGATTTTTTAAGGTCTACGGACTGAGCGAAAAGATCACTTTCGACTCCAAAACTGGTTTTGTCATTAAAAAAGCAAATTGGGGTATGGACATTGTATATACTTGCACTGTTGAAAATAAAAACTTTTCACATGCAATAAAAATAAAAGCTGAGACTACTACCTTCTATCCATGTATGAATATCTTAAGAATAGACGATGCACAATCCGTCTCCGTAGATTCTAGACTAAGTATCAAATGTTCAGCTGAAGTAAGAAAAGAAGCCGTTTACACTATTTCGTGGAAGATTCCACACAACGTGGTAAATGTGGTTAATATAATACATATACAACTTAATATGCTGTTTTGTTTTATGTCTTAAAATATAAATAGTTAGGTATTTTTAATGTGATGTTCAATTAATGAAAAACGTGTGCTTATAAGACTTCTAGAAAAGTTTCAAATACCGTTCGAGTAGAAGAAAAAGGAATTCATAATTTAGTCAATCTCGTAACGTCTGAGCTTATTATTGACAATGTTACTTACGATGATAGAGGTAACTACTCTTGTAAAATAAGATCTTCGTTTGATGAAGAAAAGAGTCGCGATACTTACGTTTGCGTGTTTGGTGAGTGATTGATAAATTTTTTTTCGTTTATTATTATTGTTATCATTATTATTATTATCTTTCCTTCACAGTACTATGTGAAAAATAAAATTCTGTAAATTTGAATTTGTAGATACTAACAAACCATACATCAATCTTACTTCCGACAATCTATATGTAGTTTCAGAGGATGGTAAATCAGTGACTTTTTTGGCTTTTGTTGATGCATGTCCAATACCAACTTTGGAGTGGTAATATGTTTAATCCTTAGTAGTGCTTTAGTGAACATTAATTTATTTATTTCATTTTAGTACTATTAAACATTATTTTCCATTTAAGGACTCACCCTCAAGGTTATATAATTCGTCCCCACTCGTGGAAAGTAATAATGTCCTATTACGGAACGATGAGCCGATTGACTCTATCAAACATCGATAAATATGCCACGGGAACTTTTACGCTTAGAGCTAAACATGATAAAATAGTAAAGGAGTTGAAATTTTATCTTGAAGTTTATGGTACATAAAAAATGTTAGATACTTTCGTAACATACATATTTTGAACGGAACGAGACAGAATATTAAAAAATATCAGGGAGTGAATTATTTTTTACAGTTTAATCATACAGTTTTGTTTTGAGTATTTTTAGTTCAATATTATCAAAACTAAAAGTAGTCTATAGGCAGTGGTAAAATTGTTATTTGAACTTTACACTTGCTGCTCCTGAGCATTAATGATCTCGTACTAATTTTGAGTTGCAAGGGGTAAATTTTTATTTTATATGTGCTCCGACTACAAGGAAAAAAACATCGCCTTTCATTTAGACCTGTCACTAGCTTATTTTATTTACCAACACATGATAATATTTAATTACTGACATTAGTAATAAGAAACCATTTCTTACGTACTTTTACATTTTTTAAAAAAAATGGGCACTTTCTAATTATAGTTTAGTGGCCTTGAGAAAAAGTTATTATAACGCACATGAATGAGCATCGTAGACTGTATCAGTCACAAATGTTGCTTCCACTTTTATACTTAATATAAAGATGCATCAATTTACAAATATATTTTTAATACATGCAACTGCAACACTGTGTTAAAAATTATGTATCATACTTATGTGTATACTTTTATTTCAATAAAGTTGCAACTGTCTACACTTATAATTCATTAAAATTCCAAATTAGAAGTTAATTTAAGTTCAGATCAGCTTTTTTCGCATAAGTTACTGAAAGAGACAAACAAGACCTAGCAAGCCCATTCGTCCAAAACTGAGTAGCCTATTCATAAAAAATAATACATAAAACATTCAGAAGAATAATGGACTGCAAATGCATAATTTTTGAATAAACAAAATATGAAATAATAATAATTTTTAGTATATCTTCGACATTTTACATTAAATGAATGTTAGTCACTGTATACTTGCTTGGGTTCAAAATTAGTACTTTCGATCTACCAATTTAGATAAAATAGTTCTATTTTTGTAAGCATTATGACTACGAAACTCTTTAAAAGTGGTAAAATGACATTTAAGGTTTTCAACTCTTACCTGTTAATGACTGATTCTATTTAAAAATCGCAGAGCTTATACAGAAATTAAGTTTTTGCTCAGTAAAGTAAAAAACTCAAAATTTGTTGGTAGACTTGTGACTGAAACTTTGCGAATTCACAATTAAATTTTTTTTTTTTTTTTCATCACCATGAAATTCTAAATGTGTACGTCGTTTTTTTGTTCTGGAACTTTATGTCAAGCATTTGATTTTTTTTCTTGCAGGTAAGCCAGCGGTCGAGTTTGACAAAACTTACCTTCAATCTTACTACAGTTTTAATAAAACTGCCAAGTTTGTTTGCCTTGCCAATCGTTATCCTGAGTCGAATATATCGTGGATCGTAACGGAAACGTTAATTTACAATAAACTACATAACTTACAGGTTGGTTGGTTACTATAAAAAATAGTTTGTTCATCTAAATTTGAAGATTTAGACTATTGTTTGAATGTAATGGTAGAAATAACATTTTCTGAACGTAAATTCATTTTTCCAGAGAATAAAAACAGATGTGCAAAATAGCAATTTTAAACAAAAGTCAACAGTAGAACTGAAACAGTTAGTAACATCTGGTACAATAAAATGCAAGGCTTGCAATATCTATGGGTGTGCCTCTGCGTCAAAGGAAATTCAATTAACAGGTACATGGATCTAAATAATATCCATTGTTCAACTTGGATTTTTATCCATCTTTTACTTTCTTTTGTGAGTTACTATTGTATGGATATTTTTTTTTCTTTAGATGGGGTAGCTAATGCATCTTTTGGAATCATACAACCAAATAGAAGTTTTCAGAAAGGTGACAATATTTCTTTAATATGTGCTGCTGTAATTAATGATTT